TCTACTCGGGAACTGGGTAACGAGGCCATCAGTTGTTTACTGAATGTAGCATTCTGTCGACGTTAAAAGAGACAGTTGTCCACGATGCACTTCACCGTAGCTCTCTTTCTCACTATCAAAAACCGACGGCAAATCGTATTGAGTAGGTGATTTTCCCCGGCATGACCTTCCTGCATGTGAATATGTATGATGAGTGCGAGTAATGTGGTGGTTGTTGGGCAAGATGATGGGATGTTTAGCGTCAAAGTCCAACTCAGGGGTGATGTGTTGATTGTTGGGCAAGATGATGGGATGTTTAGCGTCAAAGTCCAATTCAGAGTTTGTCAATCTACCACCTACTATCAGCAAACCATCTACCAATGTTGGACAGAGTCTTCAAAGAGAGCTGCTACGTAATGCGCGTCAGTTGGTGTCACAATTCCCCTTGCTCAAACTCTTAATCTCGGACGGGAAGGCTTGAAATTGAACCATGGGAACAACATCAGCTTCTGCTGTTTTCAATTCAGTTGGAACGATGAGCACAATATTTAAGGTATTATCAGGTCGGAGTTCTCGTTTCGTAGTTGTCGTTTAAATCTAGTCCACCCGACAATCACCCGCAGCACCTTCGTCCATCATGAAAAACGATTCAGTTTCTGCAGTAAGATGTTGGTTGAAGCAGCGACTAACGTAACGGTCCGCCTAGCCTCTAGTAACTCTGTTGCGACAGGGGAAATCTGAGTGTCGGGCCATTCGCTGGGTTGATCTGTCAAGAACGCCGGTCCATGTAACCATGATTTTATTTTCTCCAGGTTCAGCATACCCCTGGAGCAGTAGTTGGCTGGATTGTCACAGGATTGTATGTGCCGCCATTGACACACCTCCGTTTCTTCGTGAGTGACAGTCAACCGGTTGGCAACAAACGTGCTGAAGCGCGTCCGTACNACGGCTAACATAGTGAAGAACTATAGCGGAATCAGTCTAGTAAGTTACGGTCCATTTAATCGAGTTAGAACATCTTTTGAGCGCCTTCGCTACCCTCACGGCTAATACTGCTGCGGCCAGTTCTAGCCTGGGGATTGAGAATGACTTTAGAGGGCGACTCTGGCCTTTGCGAACAGAATACTGTTATAATCCCTTCCAACTGGCCGAGACGAGCAACCGTAGGCTACAACCCCGTATCCCACCTCCGACGCGTCCGCAAAAATGTGTAACTCACTTTGCTCTCCTTTGTGCATTCCTCGTATGGAACGAGGAAGTCGTATATCGCCCAGCTTGGACAGGCTCAGCCACCGGCCTTGCCAGGTCTTGCGATCCGCTTCGCATAGAGTCTCATCCGAAGTAACCATTTTTCTACACAGGTCATGCAGCAGAATCTTGCCCGGCAGTAGCCACGGTGCGACGAAGCCCATTGGATCGTAGAGGCTGGCCAAAGAAGACAGAATTCCTCCACGAGTCGCTGTCGTCTCAAGTAACTGGAGTTGGAACAAGAATTCGTCTTTCTCTGAGTCCCATTGCACACCAAGTGCTCTATCTGTTGGTAACGGACTCCCCTGCAATTCACGGAGACTCGGCGCCCACTCATCAACTGGGATGCAATTGATTGCATGACGACTGTTGGACATCCGCTTGGTCAACTTGAACCCTCCCATGAGCAGTAACTTGGATAGATCCCTAATGTGTCGAACTGCTTCCTCGATGCCATCAAAGGATCCCAGGAAGTCATTCACATAAAAATTATGTTCAACACACGAGCCCACCGGGTTTTCGAAATGCTGAGCAAATTGATTCACGGTCGTTTTTAACGCGAAGCTTTGCACAGAAGGGAGAAGATATCGCGCCAAACGGGTGCACCGTCATCTGATACTCCTGGGCAGGTCCGTCTGGGTCTCCATCCGGCCACCACCACAACCGTAGAGCATCCCTTTGCCCGTCGGGGACTTTGACCTGCATGAACATCTCCTCGATATCAACCGCTACTGCAACTGACCCCAAACGAAATCTGCACAGCACCTCAACCAGCGGAGTCGTCAGGTTTGGGCCTTGTAATAGGCGGTCATTTAGGGCAATTCCGTTACACTTGGCAACACAATCGAAGACAACCCGGATCTTCTGAGGTCTCTTGCGGTTTATGACAGGGTGGTGCGAAAGGTACCACAATGGTTGCCACTTTTCGACTTCTTCCATTGCGCGTTTGATATATCCCAACTCAAGATTGCATTTCATGGCGTTACAGTAGGCTTCCTTTAACCGCGCGTTCCTCTTTAATCAACCCTTCAAGTAGTTGAGCCTGTGGAGAGCTTTTTCCCGATTTTCTGGCAGTCGGTTGGATCCCGTTCGCTAGGGTAACGGCACTTCAAACTGGATTCCGTTGCGTTGTGTCGTTTCGGTGACGACAGCCAGGACTGCTCGGTCTTCTCTTGACATAGATACCAGGTCATCTGCTATATCGTCGAACTCGTGATTGTGAAATCGCTCCATGTCGTCTCCTATGAGATTATCTGGCCGCGAGATAAAGTTGATCGAGGCTGAATAATTATCATCATGACCGAGCGGCCCACAGAGTAACATCATGCGCACAGCATATGGATCTCTACGGCCTCCTATCCTTTGGTCCAGAACCCAATGCGCCTCGGGTACATCACAGCCGAACAATATATCCACTCGGGTTTCCGGAACATCCTCGAACGGCAGATCGTGGAGGTGAGGCTAGCGCCGCGCTAGCGACCGGATACTTTCGGAAGCTCTCATTGGTA